TCGCGTGAGGTGGCGTGGGACCCACCCCACTTAAAATCACTTAAGTCCACCTCATCCTATCACTATTCATCATCTTCCCACTCCCCTCTCTCTCCCTTCAGCCGCGCAAACAGCCCCCTCCCCCTTCATTTTTGTGCAAATCTTTCTTTGATCACAACTCACACAAAACTCAACCAAAATCAACAAACTTTGACTTGAATTCCATAGGAAATCACCTTCTAAAGCCATTGGTGGCCTTGTTTAACCTTGAAAGTGAGTGGATTTTGAGATCCTCCCCATTTTAGGCCGCGGTTTGCTTGGGAAAAAGAGTGATCATGGTGTTTTCAAATGCTCCAATGGTGGAGTATACTTAGGAGGAGTCATTTGCCTTGCTTTTGGGTGAGTTATTTCAACATTTGAATGGTTGATTTGTGATTTATGTTTATGAACCCTAAAGAGGGATTTTATGATGTGTTGTGTTAGAGAGCTCAAATGGAAAATGTCTATTAGATGATAAAGCCTTAGAATGATGTATTAATGCTAGAAACGCAATGAAAATTTTAGGTGAAATGTGATGATTTTAACTTAGTGAATTTGAGGTGATGATTTTGGGACTTTGGAATTTTGTGTTGAGGCATTGTTTGATGAATTGTGGTATGATTATATGATGATATAATGTGGTTGTGTGAGATGTGGAGTGAGTAAAAGTGAATGGAAATCCTAGAATTGCCATAGGTTGCAACTTGGCCTTTAAAGGAAAATTATGGAATTGATGTTGTTGGAAATTGTTTGAGTGATGAATTATGTGTTAAAAAGGTAATTAGATGCGTTTCGTGGTGATTGGCAAGTAGAAGAATCAATGCAAAAATAATAAGTGGCTTAGTTGGCATAAAGAACCTATAGTGAAAAATTTCGCAAAATGATGCGTAAATGTCATAAAACGGAAAAACGACGATTGAACTAGCCTCTAAGCAACGTAAGGAAGCGTTATAAAATGAGAAAGAAAATTTAGAAAAATAAATCCCCAAATAACACATAGATGGCCGAACCTTCAAGGAGGAAGGGGGAATTTTTGCGGTTTTCGCGTTTTGATGTAATTCGACGCGAAAATGGCGAAACGACACTTGAACTTGCCTCTTGGCAACCTATTGAGGCGTAATAAAATGAGAAAGAAAATTTAGAAAAATAAATTTGAAAATAAGCCTAGGATGGCCGAACCTACCAAGTGTGGGTGAGGTGATTTCGTGATTTTGCGTTTTGATGCTATTTGACGCGTACTGATAGATGTACGTGATTGTATAGGTTGTCGTACGTTGACTTGAATCCCGAAACTTGAATCTGGGAGTTGCCCTTGGTCCTGGACCAAGTGGATTGAGGTATGTAATTGATTTAATGCATGTATAATTGTAAATTAGCATGTATTGTTTGAATTATAAGAGATTGGGAATGTCCTCTGTGTATGCATTCTGCTATGTACCAAGTTGAGGGATAAGCTGTTGCGGAGCTTGTGAAAGCAATATTTAAGGTAACCTCTTGGTACTGGGGCTTGTTACCCTTTTCTGTTCCACCTTGCCAGTTGATGGCAACGGTAGGAAGTGTGTATGAGTAGTATAGAACACATGAGCATGCATGCATTATTACAATGGGTACTTATGTACCAAGTCTCTGGCCAGTAGACAGTTTTCTTAGCCTTCGGGCAGTTTCGGACTTCCACTGGATAGGTCTCCAGGAGGGAGTTCCAGTTGACCGTGGGTCATGGTGTGTGATCCGGGTAGGAGCACACTAGGAATGTCTTTGGCGTTTTGGATGGTTGGGGCATCATGGTTGTGGTTTCTTTGAACGCACCTTGGATGATACCCATAGGCTTATATATGCCCAGGGCGTACGTGGAATTGGGGTTACCATCCCGTATCGTCGTAGTTTGTATCTTTATATTCTTCATTTCTCTAAAACCCTTGCTATATCCCGTTTTAAAAATTGGTTGTTGTATTCTATTCATATGCATCGAAGTGAACCATTAGGCGGAGTTTTCTCCAGAACCTCTGGGTTACTGAGATATATTCGTATATCTCACCCCGTCTCGGGGCATTTATTTCAGGAGGTAGCATTGGAGCGGGAGCAGCGGGCAAGAGGCCCGCAGAGTGATTCAGTGGAGTTTAGCTTTTTGCATTTTGTTGGCCATGTGGCCTAGGCTAGACTTAGGGCATGAACATCTCATTGTATTTTGGTAGGAGCTTCATTAGCATCTTGTTCATGTCATTTTGCCTAAGTCTAGTGGTCATGCCTTGTAGTTTATTTACCATTTGTATTATGTTGTAATATTGGAAGATTGTAATTAAGTTTCATTTGGAGTTGTAAGTTGTAAAGCAATATTGTAATCGTACTTGATGCATGTCTATTTATGATGGAAGGGCCTTAGGTCTATTTTAGGTTATGATTATATGTATGATGAAAATATGCATGAAAAAGGTGTTAGTGATTGCAACTACTTAAGAATGATTAATATGAGCTATATGTCTAATAACTATAAACTGGATTGGGTTGTAAGTGCCGCAAGACATTGTTGGTCCTTGTGTGTGCCACCCATTGGATTATTATTGTATTATCATGTGATTATTAGGTACATTTGAGGTTTAAATGATCTTTTACAAATTTGGGATTATTGGAAAAACAAAGGAAATTCTGACGAAATTTCTGTAGAATTGACAGATTTTAGGCGAACTTCGGGAGAACATATCTCCCTCCATAGAGGTCCAATAGGGATGTGCCATACGCCATTTTGAAGGTTGAGATGTCCTCTAAATTTTGTCAAAATTTGGGGAAAATCTGGGTTGATCTTCGACCTGGAAAAATTGGAGGAACGCAAACTGCTCATGTGCCCACTGCATCTGAGGCAGTTCTGGTCCTGTTTTGAGAAATTAATTCCCGCTTCGTTTCTCAGTAAAATTAAGCGTATGATATATCAAATCGAAGATAGAGATGTCTAGTTTATGGTGTAAAAATTTGGGAGCAATTGAATGAGTGGATTGAGTGCAGTAATTCGTGGAGTGAAAGAGGTTTAGAGCTGTTTTTGAGGTTGGTTGGCTATTTTGCTTATCCGACTTCAAACGGATATAACCGGAGCAATTGAGCTCCGAATTGAGCGTGTGATAGCTTGTTGAAAAGGGAATTAAGTAAGACAAAGATATAATCTGAGAAGAAGGTTTGGTTGCGAGCGGTGTGTTCGCAGAAAATTTAGGAGTGAACCATGTTCGAATAGGTAAAAATGTAAAGTTTGGAAATTGGCTAAGTGAGTTTATGGGAACCCCTTAGTAACTTATAATAAGTATATTGTGATGTAAAAATAGATAAAATAAATATTCCGCAAGAGTTAACAGTTATTGTCACAGCTTTTAATTATTACGTGTTTTATTGTTTTAAATGCTCGCGTAATAATCGGAAAAAGTTTATTCGTATTTTTATAAATGAATTGCTGTGATTGTAACTGCGCTTAATATCATAATTAATGTTAACAATACCGGTACGTAACGGACTGTTACACACCATGTCAGCAAGTTTAAAGCCACGTAATCTCGCTGCACTGTGGAGCGAGATTACGTGGCAAGGCCTAATTCGCTGCATTGTGCAGCATTTCATGTGGCGCCAGTAACAATTTAACTCATGGATTAAGAGGACCAATAAAAAAAATCAGCATTTATTTGACATTAAATTATTTTTACAATTTTTCCTTGGATATTACATTTGACACTCCATCGTCTTTATTGTGTATTATACTTTCCAAAAGAAAACAAAAAATAAATCAGCATTTATTGGATATTAAATCGCCTTTATCATTTTTCCATGAATATTTCATTTGACACTCCATCGTCTTTATTGTGTATTATATTTTCCAAAAAGAAAACAAAAAACAAAATAACATTTATTGGACATTAAATCGTCTTTATCATTTTCACATGAACACTCCATTTGGACACTTTTTCGTCTTTATTGTGTATTATATTTTCCAAAATGAAAACAAAAAACAAATCAGCATTTACTGGACATTAAATCGTCTTTATCGTTTTTCGATGGGCATTCCATCGTCTTTATTGTGTATTATATTTTTTAAAAAGAAAACAAAAAATAAATCAGCATTTATTGGACACTTCATCGTCTTCATCCAAAAAGACAATTTAATGTCAAATAAATACTGTTTTTTTTTATTGGTCCTCTTAAACTATGTGTTAAATTGTTACTGGCGCCATATAAAATACTGCACAATGCAGCGAATTAGGCTTTGCCACGTAATCTCGCTCCACAGTGCAGTGAGATTACGTGGCCTTAAACTTGCCGACATGATGCCACCTAATCTCGCTACACAGTGCAGCGAGATTACGTGACCTTAAATTTGGTGACATGATGCTACATAAGCTCGCTGCAGAGTACAACTAATTTGGTGACGTAACATTTTGATAAAAAATTTCTCATGACAATCCGGTAAATTTTTGCAAAAATAGAAAAAATGATCGTTCTCACTTCATTAAAAAATACTCTAGCAAGTGAAAGTAGCTCTCGGAAATCTAGGATCACATCCGTAAGTAGCCAATGAGGAGGAACTGTAATTTTGTTTTCTTATCTACTCTGGGGAGTGGGTGAAATAGTAGCTTAATGTTGCTGTTCGAACAAGTTCCACTTGGGTATGATTTGACGGCTACCCTAATAGCTTGGCTTTTTAGTTTCACCCGTGAAGTTGACCTCTGCTTGCGAACAAGTTTTCTCTACTACATAGTATATACTTTATCCAATCAAATTAGAAACGTGACATTAAAAGACAAGAAGTGTGTGTAATAAATATAGTTAGGTGAGACATGTGTAGTTTCTAATTTAAGTGTGTATATATAATTCGAAATATCTGATCTAATAACTATATATAAGTGCATCCTGGGCTGGCCAATTAGTCACATAATAACCTAAACCCAAATTGCAATTCCAAGCCTTGAGCCTTCGTGACAATCCCATAATCATTGTTAATTCTTCAAACAATGTCGTCTATATTTCGGCAATACACTTTTGATGACTCATTTGAACAAGTATTCGTCTCAAGCAAATTCCTGAAGGAATACCAGATTTCTCTAACCTTCGCCAGAGACTATGATGAGAATGGTGTTACCACCAATGGGGTGTTTAGACCCACTTGGGACATGACAAAAGTCACTCCCTCAGCAATCACTCAGTTTAAGAAAGAAAACCCTGATGTGAACGTCAAAGTGTACATTAGCATTGGAAACAGAGGCACCCAATTTCCCTTCAGTCCCAAAGCGAACGAGTCGTGGATTTCCAATGCCACCCACTCGCTCACAACAATCATAAAAAACAATGACTACGACCTTCAAGTGGATGGCATCGATATCTTGTACGAAAGCATCGAGGCCTCGCCAAATGACTTCGCCGAATGCGTGGGGAAACTTATAAAGAACCTGAAGGAAGCTGAAGTGATAAGAGAAGCTTCCATTTCACCATCATTTGCTCTCAACAAAGAATACTACTTCTGCTTGTACAGCACTTACTTTATCCTAATTGACTGGGTCGATTACCAGTTCCAGAATGAGGTTACTCCTGTGTTCGCTCCCAACACCTTGGTGGAGCGCTACAAGGAACTAGTCTTTGAGTTTTATCCAAGAAGAAAACTCTTTGCTGGATACAGTGCCGAGAACGAGGACTGGGCTACGCTGTCACCAATTGTGTTCTTTCTGGGTGGCATGGACATTCTCAAGAAAAGAAGAGGTCCTGGCATTTCCATTCATTACCATAATTACTATACGGAAACTCCACACATATATAACGAATGATTCCTTTTATTATGTGCAGTGCATGCTTTATGCAGCCATATTTATATTATATTATCTTATAAAATAAACAGCTGAGTTTGGTATGAATTACATACCAATTTGTCTAAAAGAAAAAGCATATGTAACATGCACCTTGTATAATTTGAAAACAATTCTCTCCTTTATCATTTAATAAGTTTTTCCGTGAATAATATAATTTTGTTTGGGTATACTGAAATTTATATTTTTGAACGATAAAGTATCTTGCATTGAAAGTACAAAAATACTTATGTAAGGGAGGAGTTATGTGATGTGGACATTAGACACTAAATTATATGTCTTTAAGATTTGTGCCGCTAATCCGAGTATATATCATTTGGGTTATGCTATTCTTCTTCATACACAAAGAAATTAATTTGTGGGATGAAGTTGATTAATGATGATTTGCACGAGTGAGTTGACAATAAGAGCACATTGTAAAATTACATTAGCTTACAAAAAAAGTTTTCAGCGAGAAGAGGCATAGGAAGTGGGAGCAACCATTCTATATACCAAGCATTGAAGGTAGACACGAAAAAATCCGCGGTACCACTCAGGGATGTAGAGCGCGAGTATTGGGGAGGGCCAGTCCTACTTCCTAAATTTTAATTTTTTATTATTACATGTATAAAATGATATTTGTCTAATAATAATAAATTGTTAGCATTAATAGTTAATCGCCCTCTAACAAATATTTGAAATAGTTAGTGCATCAATAACGCTTTCAATTTTGTTATTGTATTTTTATCCCGATCATTCCACTATAGAACCTTTCCCTTACACTTACAACTGCAAAACCGAAGTATTTTTCTCAATGATTGCTTCGTTTCTTCCCAGCCATAACAGGGGATTGAGCAGAGTTTTCAACCAATCCAGAAAAGAGAAAAAATAAAAATAAAAATAAAACAGAAGTAATGAGTGGTTATAAAACACCCTTATCATTTAACAAACCAAACACAACATATTATGACCAGGGATCAATATCACATGCTGATAAACACAAAACGGCAACAGAATAAAATTCAAGTGAAAAGACCCAAAAGCCCTTCTGTCTTTAGGAATAACAACGGTGGCCACACACATATTAAAACTGATCTTAATTATGGAATAGCCAAGATGGCTTGTGATTGCTTCTCATAGCGGAAACCATTTACCTTGGAGTCATCAGCCGACCACACAAAGATACCATGAAGTTTTTGCTGTCTCTTGAGCCTATCGCATGCAATGAAGAATCCACTATCAGGGGACAATCCACCACTTCCTTCAGTAGTGAAACTTACCAACACCTTCCCACCCTTATAATTTGAGCTTTGTCTGTTAAAGTAATCAATAAAATGAGAAACGCTAGTACCTTTGTCATATGCATAAAACTGAAAATTAACATAATCTATGAGGTGCCCGTAACGCTTCCACAAGGCCAAGTAGTGACTTTGAACCTCATCATCATCAAATGGAGCAATTGAAGCAAAAGTGATGACCCGACTGCTTTTGAGAGTTTTTATCAGCCGTCCGATGCACTCAGCAAAAGTATCAGGATCTGCCTTGAAATGCTCGTAGTCAATGTCGATTCCATCCAAATTATACTTTTTGATCGTGTTTTTGAGTGAAGAAACTGCGTTAGAAACCCAGGATTCAACTGAAGATGGTTCAAAGTAAGCATAGCGATCTCTGACGGTGTCTCCTCCAAGACTAAGGGCTACCTTGACATTTGAATTCTTACTCTTGATGGAAGAAACATGGGAGGGGCTGAGATTTTTACTGTCCCAGAAGATGTTAAATTTTCCGTTTGTGGGAGAAGGAGAAGCTGATGTATCATAGTCAATAGCGAAGGACAATATAAAGTGGAAATTAACATTTGGGTTGATTGGAACATCTGAAAATTTTACATTTTTGAACTCTGCTCCGATATACTCTCGGAATAGGGCTTCTTCAGCTTGGGTTGATGTAAGGAGAAAGAAGAAGGACGCGTTTAGGATTAAAATGGCAAAGCAAATCTTGGGAATGGGAAGTTCCATTGTAATGCCACTTAAAAAAGCAAAGTTTACCAGCTGCTATGGTATTGGTTGGAGTAAATGATGAGCTGACATACGTTTATATACTAATAATGGATGGAGAGATAAGAGATATGGAGTAGCAATAGTGGAGGAAGTGGTTGAAAAAGTTTAATATAAAAATCATAAATGTGTATAGTTTTACTAGAAGGAAAATTTAGTATGTATTTATATTACTTTAATTTGATGCCAAAACATAAAGATTAAAGCGTTGGACCCCTTCGGAATAGGATTTTTTTAGTGAAGGATCCATTTAGTTTATCCAAAAAAAAATAAAAATTGTTTAATTTGTACAATAACTCATAATCAAAATATCATTAAAAAAAGATTTTTAAAATTTGTTCAAAATATTAAGCAAATCCAACCGTGCACTCTTTTTGGCCTTTCAATAGTAGAGATAGAGTAAATATTATTGGTGACACTTTTGGTCATAATATTGCATTTATACACCAATAATTATTGGTTGAAGTGGTAAATAGTTTATTCCCTTTAATAGAAGTCTTGAGTTAGAGCCCTGAAAATGATCTTGGAAGAAGAACTATCTTCTATATTGCATATATACATTTTTGATCTTATTGTATGATGATTTTGGCTTCATTAATTATAAAATGTTTTAAAACGTGGGCCATATTTGGGTTGAATTTTTTATATGAGAATTCAGAGCCTTTAGTTAGGTAATATTGATAAAAGGAAATTAACTATGATTCCAATTAATCAATTTCAATTAAGATTTGATATGTCTTAGGGATAGAAATGTCTAGTCAAGAGACTATTGAATTAATCTTAGATCTAGATGCTCTTCCAGATATTTATGAATTAGATATCTTTGACTATAGCAGATCATTGTGCACCGATAATAGTGACATTAGCTAAAGAAATGATATGTATGCATAGTGACAACATAACAATAGAGAGATAGAGTCAAAATACAAGTAATCCTTGTAGCTAAGCTAATTGTCTTGAAGGCAAAGCATCTCAAATCTTAATTGATCTGCTGTTAATCATTTTTAATATTTACTGAAAGATCTTTTCGGGAGATGAATATAATGACCCTAACTGGTAAATCTTAATTAGAGATTTAATTTAAGGATCTAAATTTCATAATTTGATTCAGAGCGTGATTTCGAGTATTTTGACTGTAATCACGACTAGGTCATGAACAGTGCTTTCTACCGGATATTCTGCATTACTATGTAGCAACCAGTGGAGCTTAAAATAAGCAAAATGAGTTTAGAGTTATAATTTGGCAATTCTGATGCCAAATATGAGTTCAGAACAAAAAATTGTATAGTCTGACACTTTTTGTGAAAATCTCGTGAATAGTGTTTCTGCCGGGTATTTTGTACTGCTGTTTAAGCAACCGGTATAGTCCAGAAGTAAAAATTAATGTAAATAAGTTCAAAAAAAATAAAAATATGTTTGTAGCTTTAAGTGAGTTCTGGGTTAATTTAAGTGAAATTAAGTGAGCAAAAAATAACCGGTAAAAGATTACACATCCTTATAAACTTAAGTTTTTCCTAAAAGTTACAATTCATTTCTGAAACTCATCTTCTCTCTTTGCTGGTCGAAGGGTTCTCCATGGAAGGAGCTTGGGTTTCTTTTCTTTTTTCCTTGATTTCTTACTCAAACAATCACTAAAACACAAAGTGTTATACATGAAAGTTTAAGTAAAAATCGTGGTGAATCCATTCCACTCATTTGTTTGGGCTGAAAAGGCTTGTGTGAGGAGCTTTCTTCTTCTCAAGATTTCGGTCATTATTCATCCTAGAGAGAGAAGTGAAGTTTTGGTGGAACCAAGCTTGATTTTTGTTCTCCAAGCCTTGTATAGGTGATTTGAGGTAAGACATCTTCATTCAAATGGTTTAAATGTCATGATTTAAGTTTTGAATATTATGAGCATATGTTATGGAAAGTATTGGAGTTGGAAATTTGAAATTGATGATGAGTTAGTATGGTTTGTGATGTTATAGTGTTAAATAAGCACGATTATAAGTTGGAATGTTGAAAAATTTTCTTGCACCTCCTCCCACTAGGTTCGGCCATGATAGGCATATGAGGGTTCTTTGTGAAAAAATTAAATTGCATAAATTGTGAAGAATTATATGTATGTGGAAGTGTGTATGAGTGGTTAAATTGATTTAATAAAAAGAAAAATCCATTGGAAAAAGCTCACTTTAATTTTGGCCTATAGGGATTTTTGTGGGTTGGTTATGTTAAAAATTATTTTGATGATGTGTGTAGGTTCTAATGCATGGCATTGGTATGAATTGGAAGTGAAATGGCTTAAGAAATAATGAGAGATACCTTGGCTCCTTTGTATGTGTTCCATAGGCTTTGTGAACAAAAATAGGCAAAGTTTAGGCTTAAAATTGTTATATGAATAACTTAGGGGCCAAGTGTGGGTTCTAGGAACCATTGGTTGTGTTGAGTAAATTAGTGCAAATTCCTAGCTTTCCTTAAGTCTTGGCTTTGGCCATTGCGTGGTTTTTGGAACTTGGAATTGCAAAAATTGTAAAAAGTATTGTAGGAGCTTTGTTGGGTCATTCTAGGACCCTACATAAAAATGAAACCATGTGGTTACTTGTGGTTCAAATAATCACCCTTAAAATGGTCTAACAACGGAGTTTAAGATATTCGGTCTTGACTCGTGAATTGGCATAATGTTCGGTATAAGTGTGAAGAAATAAATGTAACCAATAAGATGTATGCCTTGTGTAAAGTACATGTCGTGGTATCATTTTATTGATTTTTGTTTTGGATTCTTTCTCTAGGTGTGCCTAGGAACTGTGAACGTTTGGATTCTCGTGGAGACAGATAAGTAACTTGTTCTTCAAGTAAGCAAAGTGTGAAGCTTCACGAGGTAAGCTCTATGGTAAGCTCTATGTTTAAGGAGCTTTTTCCTGCTTGAGTGCTCCACCATGGTTAGTGAACTATGGTTGGATTGTATGATTGTATTTGATGCTTTGTATAGATGCATTCATATAGAGTTATTTGATAATATTATATGAATTGTTTTGATGTGATTTCTGTATTGATCCTTGGCCATTGATTTGATTGTGCACTGATGTCTGCTTTGGGTCCTCCCTCGGGACTGACTGTGTACACCTCTAATATATTCTGGTTTCGCTCGGGGTCCTCCATTGGGAACACGTGCGTTGATTTTCGCTTGGGGTCATCCCTTGAGAATGATTGCGTACGCCTCTGATAAGATATGTTTATATGCTTTGTTATGTTATGATATCTGTTATATGACGTTTTGTATACTTTGTATCTGACTCTCATGCAAGAGTGAGCCCAGGGGTATGGAGAATTCTCTATAAACATGTAGCTTATTGAGATTTGTTATCTCACCCCGTTTGGTGACATTATTTCAGATGCACAGACTGCCGGTGAACCTACACGGGGCAAGGATACGACCCGTCGATAGAAGGCATCGCAGACTGGATTTTTGGGTAACAGTATGCTACTGTTATTTTGGAGGATTTGTTATTTCGAATTAGTATTCCATTCGTTTTGAGGATCATGATGTCTGATCCATTACTTGTATATGGCCTGTATATGTTTTGTACATGTTTTCCGCTTTGATGCATGCACAATTCTGTATTCAGGTATGTTTATATTATGATGTAGTATTCAGCTATATGATTACATGTTGGATAGGCATGTTGATAGCAATAGTGGCACGGCGCCAAGTTATGCATGCACTCATAGATGAGTATATGGTCCTATATGGATATCTGGTAGTTCTGAAAGTATATATTGTATAAATTGTCTATCAGGATATCTTGAGAGTGGGATTCTCAATCCCCGTTTTTCCGGTTTGCAGACGGTACTCTGTCCGATTTTCATCTCCGTTAAGTGACAATTAAACTAGAAGAAGTATGCAATGTAATATATCATGTGAAAAATGATTAAAAAAAAAAGTTAGCTCGTATTTTTAGAAGTTAAGTCTTCCGTTGCTTCTGTTTAGTATCATATGTATGTTAATTGAACTGGCTCGAGACGAAAATGTTACAATGAAGTTGCTTGAGAATTTATATTAATTCTCAAATTTATTATATAGGAACTAGCATTTTCGCGGGAGAAATTTTTGTTTTCCATATTTTGGACGGGGAGAAGTAATTTCGAAGTTCAACCCGATGGGCGTGATAAAGGGCCATCTTATAATTGTTTGGGGCCATCTTAAAACCTCAAGGCATAGCCCAACCCAATCGTTTTATGCTCTTTTCATGATAAAGGGCCGAAGCCATAAAAAAGGGAAGAAAATGTTCACCCAGACGGCGTGATAATTTTAAAAATAACAATGTATCATTTGTATCAAAGTTAAACTAATTTTAAAACTAAATTATACATTTTTCTCTCAAAAATATATGTTAACTTTTTAAAGTTATATAAATTTAAGAGAAAAATATTTGTTCTTTTAAAAGGCAGAATCATTTTAGTTAAAGTTATTATTATTTATTTAATATTTAATTTTAGAAAAAATTCTACTTTCTTCCACCATAATTTCTGTTTCTCTGTTATAAAACACAATAGTTTTAATAAAAATGACACAATTTTATATCCTTTAAAAAGACAAACACTAATCTCCAAATTTAATTAAATATAACAAAAATTATGAGGCCTTATAAAAAAAGGGTTGTCTTAAGGAAACAATTTAGTTGCCTCACTTTGAGCCAACACTGAATGTATTATATCTACGAGATATATTATTTTACCTACTTTTTTTTATACCTACTCTACTTATTATTTTTTAACATCGTTAAATTATAATATCAACTAACATTTATATTTTTCTCTCATATTAAAATTCTGATCTAATGATATTGAAAATTGATAAGTAAAGTAGGGCATGAAAAAAAAAGTTAAAGCATAATATGTGTATCTAGATAATAAATAATTTGATTGTCTTGTGTAAGATTGTTGCCATACCACGACATTGAAAAGCTACATATGGCTGTAGTGTCTCGCTCTAGTCTTGAAGACATTGGATAGCTATCTAAATCTACGCATGACATGCGTATATCTCTATATTACGTCGTCGTGGTCCCATAAACATGTGAAAGAGTAATG